TGCCCACTTGCTCCTGCTCTTACATACTGAATCTGGAAATGCAGCATTTCTGCTTTCTAGAGACCAAAGTCTTGAGAGTTGCCACAGTGGGGAACACTTTGTTCTGGGGCTGATGCATGTGAATAAAAACTGGTAGGAGGGTACTATGTAGGTGTGTCCCTTTTCCAGAGGGCTGTAGAAGTGGTGTAGATGTATTCCTCCTTAGTGCCTAAAAATGGAATGCCAGCATGCTGAATGGGAAGCCACTAGACAATTCTGGGGAGAGTTTGAGATTGTGCTCCTCTTTACAACACTTTATGGCCTGATACTCATGGCACTTGTGTGGGAGATACGGGATGCATCTACATGTGCAATTAGTGCACATGAGTAAACTTATTGCTCTGGAGTTTTTTGCTCTTAGGCACACTGTTTGAATTTGTGTGGGAGAAATTATCTCCAGAACAATTAGCTCCGGAGTTTATTTATGTGCAGCATATGGAGCCCAGCTGGAGCAGTCCCAGCTGGCAGGGGCCCTGGGGGGTCAGCCTGGAGCTTTTTCACCTCGGCTCAATGTGCTGTGGAAGTGTGCCTGGGGCATAAGGGTGCTTCAGCATAGGTCTAGCTAGCAGGTATCTGCCACACTGAAGCACTCTTGTGCCCTAGGCAGCTGGGGTAGCATCTACACATGTATTTTTCAATCAGCAGCAGCACAAATCCTACCCTGCTGCAGAGTTTATTAATTTCATGGACACTAATAGGGGCACACATGTAGATGCTGAGACATTTACTGGGCACATTTACACAAGATGCTTTACTGTACAACAAATTAATTTGCTGTGCAGTAAAATGTCACTGTCAACACATGCGCAGTAATTAGGGCATAGTAGACTAATTTACTGCTCTACCAAACAGTCTCATCAGATACAAGTGGTATCTGGCAGCGCAGCTTAAATTCACTTATAGAAGGTAATGTTGGGATTAATTTACTCTGGCTCAAATTGAGTCAGTATACTCAGTCACATTTGTTGTGTATGTAGATGTGCCCACTGCAGAACTAGTTAGTCAGCTCCACAATAAACATTGTATGTAGATGCATGCTCACAGGCTCTGTTCAGCAGAGGAGGGAATTGAACCTGTGTATCCAATATACTGGGTGAGTGATCTAAGTACCAAACTACTGGGCCAAGAATAAGAAAGATGGCAGTTTTTCCTGTGTTTTCAGATGTCTTGAGACCTTCTTCAGGATTAGGCCTTGAAGTGGGAGAGAAATGGGAATCCCTGGTTTCTAAATCCCAGGTAGATTTAGGCACATAGTAGTAGATGCCCGGCTGTCTAATGCTAATCAGGGCTCAAACAAACCTATGTAGACCCAGCAGTAGAAACATGGGTACCTTTGAACCTTTACAAGTTGAAACTTACCATATTTACTCAAATATAAGATGACCCCCCCACCCCCCATAAGAAGATTCTATATATGGAAAATTTATAAATCTGACTTATTTTCCCTTCCAAAGAAGTGGGAAGGTGACAAATTCAAGGAAACCTTCACTAATTAGAGGTTTGCCTTGAATTTGTCACCTTCCTACTTCCATAGGAGGGAAAATATTTTTTTTTTTTTTTTTTTTTTTTTTTTCCCCCCCCCCCCCCCC